AATCTGGAATCAGTATCACCATAAAGGAGCCCTGGTTTCTTTTAGTGGGAACTGGTTTTTAGAGACCACAACCTGGGTCCTGGGGGTGTTAATTGCTGCAGGGTTGTCCTTACTTCTATACCTATTCAGTGGATATATATGTACTTTTGAAAAGAAAAAAGATGAGTTCATACTAATATTTCCAATTTAAATATACTATTGCAGGATTTTAAAAAAACGTAATTTCTTTGTACACTTGTATTTTCTGTTACACTGAAAACATCTTGGTTCCTTTTGACATTAACATTATTTGCTTTATCCTGTAGTGTACATAAGAATTAGAAAAATAATACCAATATTAATAACAATAATGCTACTGAATGAAATTTAAGATTTCTTTGCAGTTCTACTTGCCCTTGGAGTATATACCACCATTGATGTCTAGTCATAATAGGGTATTCCAACAACATATTAGGTTTTCTTGTGTTCTCATGCCATCAGTGGGATAGTCAGTGAAGTTTGTTTTCATTCATTTTCAATTTTTGGTGTTTTCTTTCTACTTAATTGGTTAATATTATTAATATAACATGTTGTTCCTGAGTCAAAACTATGTAAGGCACATCCAGAGAAGTCTGTTTTCCATTCCTGTCTCTTCCATCCTGTTCCCGCCCATATAAATACTGTTAAAATTAGGTTTTGGCTTATCCATCTAGTGTTCCTTTCTAAATGTTGGCAATTACAAATATCTTTGTATGGCCCCCACATCCTTTCCTTCCTCATTCATTTTCATGATTAATATTCCATTGGTGAATGTTATAGTTTTAAGAATGGCTTTTTTTTTTTTTCAGTAACGCTAGCTAATAGTTCTGAACTACTAAAGTCTGTCTGGAGAGATGAGGAAATACTCTTTAAAAACTCTTTTTAAATGGGAGCACTTTTCTTTTTTTTTGAAGCCCCTCTTCCAAGAGAAACAACCATTATTATTACTATTGTTTTTTACATGCTTGCCAGGCCGCTCTAAGCTGCCGGGAAAGAGTTGACCACAACTGGGGAAGAAGCTTGTGCTTCTCTGCCGCGCTGCCAGCTTCGTCCTGCGGTCGGCTGACCGTCCCTTCCGACGCTGCTCCGAGGAGGTGGGGGCTTGCGTCTCGCTGGTGTTCTGCACCTGAGACCTGCTCCCTTTGCTGCCTCCTCCAGCCGTCCCAGGTCTTGGGAGAGCACGGGACTCTCTGTCGCTGCTTCTGGTCCCGGGCGCAGTTGCTCACCCGCCCGCTCCCGGGCTCCGGGCTCCGCGGCTCCAGGGCTCCGGGCGCGCGGCAGCCGGAGCCGCCCCGCCTGCGCGCGGTGATGCCGGGATTGGGGG